ACAGGAATATCTGGACTGGACTACGGCCAGTCAGAGAGTTCCCGCCTATCTCTGTTTGTTTTGTTTTGGGGTTTTTTTGCACTGAACAGCTGGTCTCTGTGGAAGCTTGTTTCCGCCATTAAAAAAAAATCAAAAACTCGAAATTTCAAGTTATCTTTATCAAAATTTCGAGGTAGCTCTGCCAATTAGTAATCTACGTGAATGAGGTCATTTTCTTGTTACCCGGAAGAATATGGCGCAGAGGAATGCGCAACGTTTGCTGATAGTAACGCCATGTCATTCAGCTAATAACGGAAGGATTTCATCATTTGTGAAGCCACGTTGAAAATACTCAGCTATTTGTACATTCATGACTGGCTCTAATACTGGTAGCTTAGCTGTAGCATTTGTAGCCAAGGACTTCAGCTTCCGGGTAACAAGGAAATGACATCATTCACGTAGATTACTGACTGACAATGCAACTCAAATTTTTAAGTTACTTTTCTCAAAATTATGAGTTAGTAAGTCAAACTTTCGAGTTAATTTACTCAAAATTTCGGGTTAATAAGTCGAAATTTCGATGGCTACTTTTTTTTTGTGTGGCGGAAACAGGCTTCCATAGCGCCGCACTGGTGCGACCTAGAATTCTTTTTAGTTGCACCGTTGAGAAATTAGGACCAAATTGGACCAAATTGGTCGCACTCTAGAGCCCTGTGTAACATACTAAAACGTTTCTTATTCTTACTGTTGCTATTGGTTTATAGAGATTTCTTTTCTGTCGTACTTTTTAAAACAGTCTAATACATTTCTTATTGTTTATTGTCCAGGATGTTGCCGCAGCTTCTCTCATATAAGAATTAGGCAGGTTGATATCAGCTCATATTACATTACGGATCAACGGTGTCCAATGACTGCAGTCATGTAAGTTCCTTTACAGCAAGTTTACTTACATTTCAATATGTATTTATTACACGTGCAAGTGTAATAAAACATTCTCAGGATGACCGTTGCTTAGGAAATAAAGTAGAATTCAGGGACAATGAGAGTTTTAACATATAAGCTTTTATCTGGTCTTAGTATTTGCTCTCACCTGTCATCTAAATTTTGTCTCATGCACATCTTTATTTTGCAGCTGTTTTTATTTTGTAAAATAAATAAAACAATACATTTTAGTAATGATAATCCTTTTTCTTTGTTTCAGTTTCGTTATCAAAAAGTCTCGTGAAATCTGTATTGATCCCTCTTCGCCCTTGGTCCGCAATGATTTTATAATTCAGGAAGCATTACTCCGCAGGAAGTATAACCATCCTTAAACTATTGCTCTCCTGCTCATCTATAAAGTTTGTTCTGAAATATAAAATGTAAAAATCCTGCATTATTTGAAATAAAGCTCCTGCTCAGTCAGTGAATTTATGATCAGAAGTGTGTACCAGAGGTTATTCATTGTTCAGATGTGAGATGTATGTGTGTGTCCATATATATATATATATATATATATATATATAT